AGTAACACCATCTTTCATGTAGAACTGGTCCATAACTGCTGGGTCAAGCTCACTCATCAGAATTTCCAAAGTTTGATCTGGCTGACTGATTACCCGACTCTCTGGGAAATCCAGAGTATATAAGTACCTACATAAAAGTTAAAAATAGTTCCTAAGAATGACAATTGGCAATTTAAGTTAAATCTTACATAGGACAACAAAAATCCACAAAATTGCATTAAACATACCAACAGTCAGAATTCATACGTCCCATACAATATGCTGCTCCATCTGTTGAGGGAAGACAATGTAAAATAAATATAACACATCCATGTAACCAGTTGGTTACTACCCTCCCACAGTAAGCACAAGGATACTATTTGCCATCTATTGGAAATGTCACCAATCAGTGGGCTGGGCGGAGTGGCTCACACCTATAATCCCAGCACTTTGGGGAAGGCCAAGATGAAAACCCTACCTCTACTAAAAATACAAAAATTACCCGGGTGTGTTGGCACATGCCTGTAATCCCAGCTATGTAGAAGGCTGAGGCAGGAAGGAGAATGCTTGAACCTGGGAGGCAGAGGCTGGAAGGAGCCAAGATCTCACACCACTGCACTCCAGCCTGGGCGACAGAGCGAGACTACATCTCCAAAAAAAAAAAAAAAAAAAAAGAAGGGGCTGGGTGCAGTGGCTCACTCCTGTAATCCCAACACACTTTGGAAGGCCTAGGTGGCCGGATCACAAGGTCAAGAGATCAAGACCATCCTGGCCAACATGGTGAAACCCCATCTCTACTAAACATACAAAAATTAGCCAGGCATTGTGGCGTGCCTGTAGTCCCAGCTACTCAGGAGGCTGAGGCAGGGGAATTGCTTAAACCTGGGAGGCAAAGGTTATAGTGAGCTGAAATTGCTCCACTGCACTCCAGCCTGGCAACACAGCAAAATTCCTTCTCAAAAAAAAGTCATCAGTGAAAGAAAAGGAAACAGCAGGTGAATTCTCAGATAAGCAGGATCAAGTGACTTGGTGGATATTTTGCACTAAACACCCAACACTCTGATTAGCCTAGTTTGGTTTCGTATTAGTAGATGTACTAAGTTAGATTTTCATGCTGGTGAGTGACTTTGTGCAAAGTTACTCAATTATCCTAGGTTTTCAGCCTTATCTAGGAAGTAAGGAGGTTATTAGATAATCTTTAGTTCCCTGACTTCTATAAATAAAGCTTATTAAAAGGATGAAAGAAACCCTTACCAATTTCATTCAAGAAACACTAAGTTACACTGTGTAATTTTTAAAAAGCCAGGTCAGTTGTTATATAAAATGTTGGAGCAGAGGACTGGGCATTTTTCTGGAAGAAATCATATCCTTCTTCATATTGTCAAAGGACATTATGATCTATATGTTAAGGACCAGTGAGGCTGGAGAACTGCTAGCGGTCAGGAGTTCAAGACCAACCTGGGCAACATGAGACTCCGTCTCTATTAAAAATAAAATAAAAATTAGCTGGGTGCTTGAACCCAGGAGTTTGACATTTCGGTGAGCTATAATGATGCCACTGCTCTCCAGCCTGGGAGAGTGAGACCTTGTCTCAAACAAAAACATAAACAGAACCACTGAGTGAGACAGAAAGTAGGGTGACAGCCAGATGAAGACGAACTCTCTCTATGCTATATGAAAAACCAGAGGTAGCAGGTGATCAATCCTACATTTTAAAATTCCATCTCAAGCAATTCCTAGATGGAAAAAAATAAAATAAAATTCCATCATTTAAACAGCACTGACTTGTGATACACCCTAGGACTTTGGGAGGCCAAGGCAGGTGGGATCACTTGATCCCAGGAGTTCAAGAATGGCGCGGGCAACATGGCAAAGCTTTGTCTCTACTAAAAATACAAAAGCCAGGTGTGGTGGTGTGCACCTGTAGCCCCAGCTACTTGGAAGGCTGCGGTGGGAGATCACTTGAGCCTGGGATGTTGAGCCAGCAGTAAGCTGTGATACCACCACTGCACCAGCATGGGTGGCAGAGTAATACCCCCATCTAAAACAAACCAAAAAACCCACAAGGAAAGCAAATACTAGTGTACGTAGAGTGCTAGGTCTGCATATGTATGCTCTCATATATACAAAGATCTCTTAGAGGTTCCACTTTCCATCTTTAAGAAGACAACAGTGGGGAGGGGGAAAAATAAACGAAAAATAAAGACAACAGGTTTATATTGTATTTAAACTTACTTGGGAAAATTGCATTAAGAAACTCTATTTCTTCCTGGAAATTCCGGTGTGGGTACCCTTGGTGAGAAGGCTTCATGAAATTCTTACGAGAATAAAAGAAGCTCTTTATTTAAAAAAAAAAAGAAAAGAAAAAAAAGAAAGGAAAAAAATTAACTTTTAGATTAACTTTTAGATGTAGAATTCAATCATTTTTTCTAAACGAATCCACTATTTCCCACATATCAAAACTGGGCAAAATCAAAACTCAACTATTTCTCCCTACATTTCACTTCTAAAGTACACAAATTAGCTACCTGAGCTGATTCTAGTATAGCTATACGTTAATGTACATTTATGAGACTGCAAAATTTAGAAATTCTGTAACGGGAAAAATGTTAGGTCTAGCTGGGCATGGTGGCATAAGCCTGTAGTCCCTGCTATTGGGAGGCTGAGGTAGGAGGATCACTTGGCCTGGGAGTCCAGCTAGGGCAACATACTGAGGCCCCATCTATCTTTTTAAAGCACACATTGCTTCAGATTCCTTACAAGAATTAACAGGTAACAACAAGAACTGTATTGAGTACTAATGACAATCCATCCTTTCCTTATGAAGTTAAAGATTACAATTCAGGCTGAGTGTAGTGGTTCATGCCTGTAATCCCAGCACTTTAGGAGTCCAAGGCGGGTGGAACACCTGAGGTCAGGAGTTTGAGACCAGCTTGGCCAACATGGTGAGACCTTATCTCTACTAAAAATACAAAAAAATTAGCCAGGCATGGTGGTGGGCGCCTGTAATCACAGCTACTTGGAAGGGTGAGGCAGGATAATTGCTTGAACCTGGAAGGTAGCGGTTGCAGTGAGCCGACATTGCACGGAACTGGGCAACAAGAGCAAAACTCTGTCTCCAAAAAAAAAAGCTGCTAGTCTCAGAAAATTATACCCTAGGTAAAAACAACTTAGTTCTTGAAAAGTGTGAGAATTTAACTCAATACTAACTGTTGCTCTTCAACATAACTCTTCATTATAAAGATTGGACAATTTCGGTAATAACATTTTTCTTGCTTTTCCTTCTTTTCTTACCATTTATCTATTATTATAAGTAACCATGTCAATAAATTAACTACTGAAGTATCTGGTTTCTTGATTTCTTTCTCCCATTCGAATTTCATCCTAATTCATTATCTGCTTCCTTCATATTTTCTGTTCCTGAGAATCAGATCTCTAAGGTATGAACACCTTACTATGTGTTTGCATGCATTTTAACAAAGGCAGTGAGTATATAATTTACTTGACATATCACAGGATAAGAACCTTAACATTTACGCCTGAAAATATATTTAAATGTTTGCTTACTTACTTGAATTGAGTCAAACCCACTGTAATCCCTAGCAAGCTTCAACAGGGGAACCAGTGCTTTCAGCAAGAGGGTGGTACCACATGTCTTCAAAATGAAACGTCTCTTGGAGACAAACATGCTACTCTCACTGCAGTTGAAAAAAGTCACAATATTGTAACAATATTAATGTACTACTGAGGATGCAATCAACCAATTGAATTATCATTTACAATTCTGGCTAGTACTTTTCAATAGTAGGATCTCAAGAAAGCAAGTATCACTATTCTTTTCTTTTTTCTATTATACAAAACCACCGCAAGGCTTGACATACAGTAAGCATTTTGATAAACATTCGTATATTCATAATACAAACTTAGTTAAAAAAAAAAAAAAAAAAAAAAAGAGGTTGGGCACGATGGCTCATAAGGTCAGGAGTTCAAGACCAGCCTGGCCAAGATGGTGAAATCCCTATCTCTATTAAAAACATAAAAATTAGCCAGGTGCATTGGCAGGCACCTGTAATCCCAGCTACTTGGGAGGCTAACGCAGGAGAATCGCTTGAACCCGGGTGGCAGAGGTTGCAGTGAGACAAGATTGTGCCACTGCACTCCAGCCTGGACAGAGTTAAGACTCTGTTTCAAAAAAAAAAAAAGTCGGCCCAGGCAGGGGGTGCAGCCGGGGAAACGGCAGCCCTGCCCCCTTGCCCAACTGTGGTCTCCAGGGCTGGCCCACCCCCCCCAAAAAAGAGTGAAAAGAAGGGTCTGTTTAATCCAGTATTTCCCCCCTGCAAGGCCTATTACAATATATACTGTAAGCATTCAAAGTATTTGTTGAATAAATTAACTCTGCAACTGTAAAAAAAGGTGATGAGCTTCTACATACCAATTAGACAACTGTATTTGTATAGTGAAGCTAACTTTCCCTCTGCCTGAACTGTTCTGATTAAGAGGTCCTTCTTTACTAACTGGGAGGAAAAGATGGCAACCACCTTGAACTATCTGGTGAGGCTTCAAAGCCTACTTCCTAGAAACACCCACGTTACACTGAACATTTCCTTTTATACCATGTTCTTAAAAATAATGTAAAAAAAAAAAAACCAGAACTACAACTGGGAGGAATTTACTGTTTCACATAACATTAGGACTGAATTTAGCTATATAACACTTATTTTACAGGACTTACCTGAGTACATAAGCTTCCTGCTTGTCAGTTTTTGTCACACTTATGATTGAACATTGCACATCCTTCAAAAGTATGTCCCACTCAGATCTATCATTTAACAAAAAAATCATGATTAATCCACAACAGTACCTGCCTACTCAAAAAATTTCAAAGCTCACATTTTCCCATGAAGACGACATTTTTAATTAATATTGTTCCAGCTTCTTTTATGAACACCAACATTTAGTTTGTTGCAAAATAGTCTATATTGGCATATCCAGATAAAGGATAGGTATATTATGCTATATATGAAAAAATAATAGGTCATTATACTATGTATTTAGAAATTACTAAAAGAAAAATAGGCAAGAGAATGTTAAAAGGTCCATAAACCAAGGTAAGCCATTAACTCATCAATGATTATAGAAATTCAATGGTATACCTTGTCTATAAAATTTGCCATTTTTTAACCTTAAGAAACAATTAAAGCATAATTTTACCAATCTAATTGCCATAGAGATTTAAAAGCTTGTCTACCTGTCTGGACACTGAGTGGTGTTACTCTTGTAGCATTCACAAAAAACTAGAATGACTTTGCTAATTACAAGCACACCTAGAAGATTTTGAGAATACTATGCAGCTCTCCAAATGCAATGAGAAAGCCCATTTAAAAGGAAATGTGCAGTACAAGCAACCATAGCAATGGAGGTCATATAGACACGAACAAACTAGTCTTAATTTGCCTGAGTTAGAATTAGGAAAGTGCTGATTCTTTCATTAGTGTGCCCATTATAAAAAGACAATGCATTCCATGCAACAACTTAACATGACCAGATATTGTCATTATTTTCTGAGACAGGGTCTCACCCTGTTGCCTAGTTGGAATGCAGTGATGCAATCACGGCTCACTTCAGCCTTGGCCTCCCAGACTCAAGCATTTCTCTTGCCTCAGTCTCTCAGGTAACTAGAACTACAAGCATGTGGCCACCATGCTCAGCTGTTTGCCAGGTTAGCAGAAATATTTTTTAGGCCAGGCATGGTGGGTTATACCTGTAATCCCAGCACTTTGGGAGGCTGAGGCAGAAGAGCTGCTTGAACCTGGGAGGTGAAGGTTGCAGGGAGCTGAGATTGTGCCACTGCACTCTGGCCTGGGGAACAGAGTGAGACCCCATTTCAAAAAAAAAAAAAAAAAAAAAAAAAAAAAAAAAAAAAAAAAAAAAAAAAAAAAAAAAAAAAAGGAAAGAAAAAGAAGCTGGGATTACAGGCACATACCACCACGTCTAGTTTTTCTATTTTTAGTAGTGAGAGGGTTTCACCATGTTGGCCAGGCTGGTCTCCAGCTCCTGGCCTCAGCTGATCTGCCTGCCTCAGCCTCCCAAAGTGCTGGGATCACAGGTGTGAGCCACCATGCCCAGCCAGCAAATCATTTCTTAACCAGATAAGAACTTTTAAGAGAAATCCAGCAGAATGTTTTATTCGTTTGTATTAAAAAGCAAGCACAACACCTGGTAGAATTTTGTGCCTGTCTCACCATTTTGCTATAAGAAACTGTTATTGACCCATCTGCATACCCATACCCATTCAAAAATCTTTAATGTGTTAGGCTTGCTAATGATTACCGAGCTGAGTTCCTGTATTTGACTAACATTACTAAGCAACTTTATAAAAAGAGCTATTAAAAAACTGTAAGGTTCTTTAAAAAAGGTGCTAACAATTTGTTCATATATGGAAAGAATACATATACGGGACATACATGTGAAAACCCTTGAAATTACCCATGGCTTGTATGATGGGATACAACTGCAATCCCAGCTATCCCAGAGGCTGATGCAGAAAAATCACTTAAACCCAGAAGGTGGAGGTTGCAGTGATCTGAGATCTTACCACTGCATTCCAGCTTGTGCAACAGAGGGAGACTCCCTCTTAAAAAAAAATTTTTTTTTGGCTGGTAGCAGTGGCTCACGCCTATAATCCCAGTTCTTTGGGAGGCCATGAGAACAGCCTGGCCAACATGGCGAAGCCCCATATCTACTGAAAATACAAAAATTAGCTGGGCATGGTGGCAGGCACCTATAATGCCTGCTACTTGCGAGGCTGAGGCAGGCAGGAGATCCAACATGGGAGATGGAGGTTGCAGTGAGCCGAAATCACACCACTGTACTCCAGCCTGGGTGACAAGAGCAAAACTCCATTTCAAAAATAAATAACTTTATTGGTGGGAATGAAATCCTGCTTCACTTGACTAAGATAAATTTACAAAATTTGTACAAAAATTATGTACTATTAGACTCCAAATTCTGAATATGAAAGTAAATAAAAATACCCACTATCATTAAGTATTAGAAACATTAAGTAAAATTTAAGATTTTTTGTTTTCTAATTCAGATCTATCGATAATGCTACCTGCTTAAGTAATCACCTATTGACTTCCAAGTACAAGTTAGCATTCTTGCATATATTTTTTACCCAATGGACACACTAGCAAATCCCACCCTCCCTTTCTTCATTATAGTCACCATTTCTATTAAGACTTTTAAAACATGTCCCATGGCTGAACTAAACAGTGTAACAATCTTTTCTTTTCTTTTTGAGACAGTCTGGCCCTGTGGCCAGGCTGAAGTGCAGTGGCAGGAACTCAGTTCACTGCAACCTCCACCTCCTGAGCTCAAGAGACTCTCCTGCCTCAGCCTCCCAAGTAGCTGCGACTACAGGTGTGCACCACTGCACCCAGCTAATTTTTGTAGTTTTAGTAGAGACAGGCAGGGTTTCACCATGTTGGCCAGGATGGTCTCAATCTCCTCATCTCGTGATCCACCTGCCTTGGCCTCCCAAAGTGCTGGGATTACAGGCATAGCCACCACGCCCGGCCTGTTTCTTTTTCTTTTTTTTTTTTTTTCAAGGCTGTTATGGCCAGGCATCATGGTTCAGAGAGCCCCTGAAGGAAGGACTACAAGGCCAGGAGTTCAAGACCAGCCTGGGCAACATAGCAATACCCAGTCTCTTAAAAATAAAATTAAAAAAGGGATAGCTAGGCGTGATTGTGCAGGCCTATAGTCCCAGCTACTCCGTAAGCTGATGTGGGAAGATTCCTTGAGCCCAGGAGGTGGAGGATGCAGGGAACCATGATCACATCACTACACTCCAGCCAGGACAATAGAGTAAGACTCTCTCAAAACAAAAGTATTCACCCTTACAACTTGTAGAATGGTTATGACACAGCTACTTTAAAATGTTGGTCTGTGTCCCCTTGAGGTTGATGTCTGCTGTTTTTTCCTTTGAGATGTTGAGATTTTCCTGGTTTTTGGTATGTTAATTAATTTAGGATTGCATCCTGGATATTTTGATCATGTTACACCACTCTAGGTCTTGATTTTTAAAAACTTTTAGCAGACAATCAATCTCGTTTGATTCAGCCTTCAAATTTTTACTCAACTTTTGTAGGTTGTGTTACAGTTCCAATGTCAGGTTTGTTATGAAATCCTTTGCTATGCTATTTGCATCTGTCCCACTTATTTGCCACCCAATGGCCAGGCTGGCCTTAGGGAGGCAGTCTATTGCGTATTTTAGTTTCAAAGCTTCTGATGCACTGTTTGGGGTGAGATCCACATAAAATGGCCCAGGAATGTTCATATAAAACTTTGTAGATTTGCTTTCTTCAACTTGCCATAGTCTCTCTGACAATGCCCGACTCACATAGGGAATAGGGGAAGGACTCTTCTTCATCCACTATCTATAAAAACAGGGCTTTAAGCTTGGGCATTATAGTGAGACCCTGTTTCTACAAAAAAAAAAAAAAAAAAAAAAAAAAAAAAAAAAAAAAAAATTAGCCAGGTGTGGTGGTTCATGCCTGTGATCCCAGCTACTCAGAAGGCTGAGGCAGGAGGATTCCATAAGCTCAGGACTTTGAGGCTTCAGTAAGCTATGACTGCATCACCTCACTCCAGCCTGGGCAACAGAGAGGCCCTCTCAAAAAAATAAAACAAAAAAACCCAAAAAAAAACAAAAAAAAAAGGGATTTAGTATCTATACTCCGCAGCAGACTGCATGTGGCTGTGTCTCCCTCTAGGGCCAAGTGAGGAGAGGAGCAAGATAAAGTAAGGACCACCCAGAGATTCCATTGTGATACTCTTTACTCTTGGGACCATAGTTCCTTTAGTTTACTTTTTTTTTTTTTTTTTTTTTGAGACAGAGTCTTGCTCTGTAGCCAGGCTGGAGTGCAGTGGCACAATCTCAGCTCACTGCAATCTCTGCCTCTTGGGTTCAAGCAATTCTCCTGCCTCAGCCTTCAGAGTAGCTGGGACTATAGGCACGCACCACCATGCCCAGCTAATTTTTGTATTTTTTAGTAGAGGCAGGGTTTCACCATGTTGGCCAAGATGGTCTCGATCTCTTGACCTCATGATCCACCTGTCTCGGCCTCCTAAAGTGCTGGGATTACAGGCGTGAGCCACCATGCCCGGCCCCTCTAGTTTAAAAAGGATTCCCTTCTCTTGTCATTTTAGGCATCTGCCTAACTACCACAGCTGCTGAAGGCCTACAAGGGGGTTGGGGCAACAGAACAAAACAAAACAAAAGCAAAAAAGAGGAAAGTTTTCCCCCTTTCACTAAAAGGGGGCCTCTCTTTCTTTGCAGACCAGAACTAGGAGAGCCTTTCTTCGAACTATTTTTGCCTGCCCCTACTGTTCAATTCTGGGTTTCTGGCAAGCCCAGGAGATACCAGAGAGGAAAAAAACAGGAAATTCACTGCTGGTTCAGTGGAATTTAAAGTTCTGGCTTTCCAATTCACCTGCTAAAATTTACTTCTCAGAGTCCTTTGATAGCTGCTCAACAATGCATTCTGTCCAGGGTTTATTAATTGCATTTTAGTAAGTGAAGACAGTGTAGCATGCTTTCTCTGTAATGGCAGAAAGAAATAACCTTAACTTTTGTTTTTTGAGCCAGTCTCGCTGTCACCTGGGCTGAAGAACAACAGCACAGTCTACAGCTCACTGCAGCCTTGGCCTCCCAGGCTCAAAGAGATCCTCCCACCCCAGCCTCCCAAGTAACTGGGACCACTGGCACGTGTCACTATACCTTGCTAATATCAATTCTCCATCCAAACCTTTCCA